ATTGATTGTCTGGACTCCGTAATTTTTTTTCCTTTCCTGTTGCGGCTTTGGTTGTGCGTGGGTCATCCCTTTGATTTCCACATTTTGGAATATTCGGCCCCAATCACCAGTTTATGGAGTAGCACCTTTTTTATGTATCTACCTTACGTTCAGTTGTTTGTTTTGGTTTGGAACGTAAACTCTTTTACCCGCTACATTATTTTGGGAAATAACACGGTGTCGAAGTCTACCCATAGGCAACCGGTGATGTTGCGTATTTTCGTTCAGTTCCGAACTTTGTATCTCTGAACGCCTGTCAGGTTTTTGGGATCGATTTATTTTCATTGGGCAAAACTGGGTAGAATATTAGACCGTTTGATTTGGGAAATAGCAACTTCGCATTCATTATTATAAGTTGTTTTGGCATCGGCTCCGTGGAGTATAAAATTTTGGAACGCCCTCCTACTTTTGACATTGATTGTCTGGAGTCCCTAATTTTTTTTCCTTTCCTGTTGCGGCTTTGGTTGTGCGTGGGTCATCCCTTTGATTTCCACATTTTGGAATATTCGGCCCCAATCACCAGTTTATGGAGTAGCAGCTTTATGATGTATCTACCTTGCGTTTAGTTGTTTGTTTTGGTTTGGGACGTAAACTCTTTTACCCGCAACATTATTTTGGAAAATAACACGGTCTCGAGGTCTACCCATAGGCAACCAGTGATGTTGCGTATTTTCGTTCCGTTCCGAACTTTGCATCTCTGAACGTCTGTCAGGTTTTTGGGATCGATTTATTTTCATTGGGCAAAACTGGGTAGAATATTAGACAGTTTGGTTTGGGAAATCGCAACTTCTCATTCGTTATTATAATTTGTTTTGGCATCGGCTCCGTGGAGTATAAAATTTTTCAACGCCCTCCTACTTTTGACATTGATTGTCTGGAGTCGCTAATTTTTTTTCCTTTCCTGTTGCGGCTTTGGTTGTGCGTGGGTCATCCCTTTGATTTCCACATTTTGGAATATTCGGCCCGAATCACCAGTTTATCGAGTAGCACCTTCTTTATGTCGTATTTACCTTACGTTTAGTTGTTTGTTTTGGTTTGGGATGTAAACTCTTTTGCCCGCGACATTATTTTGGGAAATAACACGGTCTCAAGGTCTACCCATAGGCAACCAGTGATGCTGCGTGTTTTCGTTCAGTTCCGAACTTTGCATCTCTGAACGCCTGTCAGGTTTTTGGGATCGATTTATTTTCATTGGGCAAAACTGGGTAGAATATTAGACAGTTTGGTTTGGGAAATCGCAACTTCTCATTCGTTATTATAATTTGTTTTGGCATCGGCTCTGTGGAGTATAACATTTTGGAACGCCCTCCTACTTTTGACATTGATTGTCTGGACTCCGTAATTTTTTTTCCTTTCCTGTTGCGGCTTTGGTTGTGCGTGGGTCATCCCTTTGATTTCCACATTTTGGAATATTCGGCCCCAATCACCAGTTTATGGAGTAGCACCTTTTTTATGTATCTACCTTACGTTCAGTTGTTTGTTTTGGTTTGGAACGTAAACTCTTTTACCCGCTACATTATTTTGGGAAATAACACGGTGTCGAAGTCTACCCATAGGCAACCGGTGATGTTGCGTATTTTCGTTCAGTTCCGAACTTTGTATCTCTGAACGCCTGTCAGGTTTTTGGGATCGATTTATTTTCATTGGGCAAAACTGGGTAGAATATTAGACCGTTTGATTTGGGAAATAGCAACTTCGCATTCATTATTATAAGTTGTTTTGGCATCGGCTCCGTGGAGTATAAAATTTTGGAACGCCCTCCTACTTTTGACATTGATTGTCTGGAGTCCCTAATTTTTTTTCCTTTCCTGTTGCGGCTTTGGTTGTGCGTGGGTCATCCCTTTGATTTCCACATTTTGGAATATTCGGCCCCAATCACCAGTTTATGGAGTAGCAGCTTTATGATGTATCTACCTTGCGTTTAGTTGTTTGTTTTGGTTTGGGACGTAAACTCTTTTACCCGCAACATTATTTTGGAAAATAACACGGTCTCGAGGTCTACCCATAGGCAACCAGTGATGTTGCGTATTTTCGTTCCGTTCCGAACTTTGCATCTCTGAACGTCTGTCAGGTTTTTGGGATCGATTTATTTTCATTGGGCAAAACTGGGTAGAATATTAGACAGTTTGGTTTGGGAAATCGCAACTTCTCATTCGTTATTATAATTTGTTTTGGCATCGGCTCCGTGGAGTATAAAATTTTGGTACGTCCTCCTACTTCTGACATTGATTGTCTGGAGTCCGTAATTTTTTTCCTTTCCTGTTGCGGCTTTGGTTGTGCGTGGGTCATCCCTTTGATTTCCACATTTTGGAATATTCGGCCCGAATCACCAGTTTATGGAGTAGCACCTTTTTTATGTATCCTACCTTACGTTTAGTTGTTTGTTTTGTTTTGGGTTGTGAACTCTTTTACCCGCGACATTATTTTGGGAAATAACACGGTCTCGAGGTCTACCCATAGGCAACCAGTGATGTTGCGTATGTACGTTCAGTTGCGAACTTTGCATCTCTGAACGCCTGTCAGGTTTTTGGGATCGATTTATTTTCATTGGGCAGAACTGGGTAGAATATTAGACAGTTTGGTTTGGGAAATCGCAACTTCTCATTCGTTATTATAATTTGTTTTGGCATCGGCTCCGTGGAGTATAAAATTTTGGAACGCCCTTCTACTTTTGACATTGATTGTCTGGAGTCCGTAATTTTTTCCTTTCCTGTTGCGGCTTTGGTTGTGCGTGGGTCATCCCTTTGATTTCCACATTTTGGAATATTCGGCCCGAATCACCAGTTTATGGAGTAGCACCTTTTTATGTATCTACCTTACGTGTAGTTGTTTGTTTTGTTTTGGGTTGTGAACTCTTTTACCCGCGACATTATTTTGGAAAATAACACGGTCTCGAGGTCTACCCATAGGTAACCAGTGATGTTGCGTATTTTCGTTCAGTTCCGAACTTTGCATCTCTGAACGCCTGTCAGGTTTTTGGGATCGATTTATTTTCCTTGGGCAAAACTGGGTAGAATATTAGACAGTTTGATTTGGGAAATCGCGACTTCTCATTCGTTATTATAATTTGTTTTGGCATCGGCTCCGTGGAGTATAAAATTTTGGAACGCCCTCCTACTTTTGACATTGTTTGTCTGGAGTGCCTAATTTTTCTTCCTTTCCTGTTGCGGCTTTGGTTGTGCGTGGGTCATCCCTTTGATTTCCACATTTTGGGATGTTCGGCCCCAATCACCAGTTTATCGAGTAGCACCTTCTTTATGTCGTATTTACCTTACGTTTAGTTGTTTGTTTTGGTTTGGGATGTAAACTCTTTTGCCCGCGACATTATTTTGGGAAATAACACGGTCTCAAGGTCTACCCATAGGCAACCAGTGATGCTGCGTGTTTTCGTTCAGTTCCGAACTTTGCATCTCTGAACGCCTGTCAGGTTTTTGGGATCGATTTATTTTCATTGGGCAAAACTGGGTAGAATATTAGACAGTTTTTTTTGGGAAATCGTAACTTCTCATTCGTTATTATAATTTGTTTTGGCATCGGCTCCGTGGAGTATAAAATTTTGGAACGCCCTCCTACTTTTGACATTGATTGTCTGGAGTCCCTAATTTTTTCCTTTCCTGTTGCGGCTTTGGTTGTGCGTGGGTCATCCCTTTGATTTCCACATTTTGGGATATTCGGCCCCAATCATCAGTTTATGAAGTAGCACCTTTTTTAAGTATCTACCTTACGTTTAGTTGTTTGTTTTGGTTTGGGATGTAAACTCTTTTACCCGCGACATTATTTTGGGAAATAACACAGTCTCGAGGTCTACCCATAGGCAACCAGTGATGTTGCGTATGTACGTTCAGTTGCGAACATTTCATCTCTGAACGGCTGTCAGGTTTTTGGGATCGATTTATTTTCCTTGGGTAACACTGGGTAGAACATTAGACAGTTCGGTTTGTGAAATTGCAATTTCTCATTCGTTATTATTATTTTTTTTGGCATCGGCTCCGTGGAGTATAAAATTTTGGAACGCCCTCCTACTTTTGACATTGATTGTCTGGAGTCCGTAATTTTTTTTCCTTTCGTGTTGCGGCTTTGGTTGGGCGTGGGTCATCCCTTTGATTTCCACATTTTGGGATGTTCGGCCCGAATCACCAGTTTATGGAGTAGCACCTTTTTATGTATCTACCTTACGTTTAGTTGTTTGTTTTGTTTTGGGATGTGAACTCTTTTACCCGCGACATTATTTTGGGAAATAACAGGGTCTCGAGGTTTACCCATAGGCAACCAGTGATGTTGCGTATTTTCGTTCAGTGCCGAACTTTGCATCTCTGAACGCCTGTCAGGTTTTTGGGATCGATTTATTTTCATTGTGCAAAACTGGGTAGAATATTAGACAGTTTGATTTGGGAAATCGCAACTTCTCATTCGTTATTATAATTTGTTTTGGCATCGGCTCCGTGGAGTCTAAAATTTTGGTACGCCCTCCTACTTTTGACATTGATGTCTGGAGTCCGTAAATTTTTTCCTTTCCTGTTGCGGCTTTGGTTGTGCGTGGGTCATCCCTTTGATTTCCACATTTTGGGATATTCGGCCCGAATCACCAGTTTATGGAGTAGCACCTTCTTTATGTATCTACCTTACGTTCAGTTGTTTGTTTTGGTTTGGGACGTAAACTCTTTTACCCGCGACATTATTTTGGAAAATAACACCGTCTCGAGGTCTACCCATAGGCAACCAGTGATGTTGGGTATTTACGTTCAGTTGCGAACTTATCATCTCAGAACGCTTATCAGGTTTTCGGGATCGATTTATTTCCATTGGGCAAAACTGGGTAGAATATTAGACAGTTTGATTTGGAAAATCGCAACTTCTCATTTGTTATTATAATTTGTTTTGGCATCGGCTCCGTGGAGTATAAAATTTCGGAACGCCCTCCTACTTTTGACGTTGATTGTCAGGAGTTCGTCTTTTTTCTCCTTTCGTGTTGCGGCTTTGATTGTGCGTGGGTCATCCCTTTGATTTCCACATTTTGGGATGCTCGGCCCGAATCACCAGTTTATGGAGTAGCACCTTCTTTATGTCGTATCTACCTTACGTTTAGTTGTTTGTTTTGGTTTGGGACGTAAACTCTTTTACCCACGACATTATTTTGGGAAATAACACGGTCTCGAGGTCTACCCATAAGCAACCAGTGATGTTGCGTATTTACGTTCAGTTGCGAACTTTTCATCTCTGAACGCCTGTCAGGTTTTTGGGATCGATTTATTTTCATTGGGCAAAACTGGGTAGAATATTAGAGAGTTTGATTTGGGAAATCGCAACTTCTCATTCGTTATTATGATTTGTTTTGACATCGGCTCCGTGGAGGATAAAATTTTGGAAGGCCCTCCTATTTTTGACATTGATTGTCAGGAGTCCGTCTTTTTTTCCTTTCGTGTTGCGGCTTTGGTTGTGCGTGGGTCATCCCTTTGATTTCCACATTTTGGGATGTTCGGCCCCAATCACCAGTTTATGGAGTAGCACCTTTTTATGTATCTACCTTACGTTTAGTTGTTTGTTTTGGTTTGGGATGTAAACTCTTCTACCCGCGACCATATTTTGGGAAATAACACGGTCTCGAGGTCTACCCATAGGCAACCAGTGATGTTGCGTATCTTCGTTCAGTTCCGAACTTTGCATCTCTGAACGCCTGTCAGGTTTTTGGGATCGATTTATTTTCATTGGGCAAAACTGGGTAGAATATTAGACAGTTTGATTTGGGAAATCGCAACTTCTCATTCGTTATTATAATTTGTTTTGGCATCGGCTCCGTGGAGTATAAAATTTTGGAACGCCCTCCTACTTTTGACATTGATTGTCAGGAGTCCATCTTTTTTTTCCTTTCGTGTTGCGGCTTTGGTTGTGCGTGGGTCATCCCTTTGATTTCCACATTTTGGAATATTCGGCCCGAATCACCAGTTTATCGAGTAGCACCTTTTTTATGTATCTACCTTACGTTTAGTTGTTTGTTTTGGTTTGGGACGTAAACTCTTTTACCCGCGACATTATTTTGGGAAATAACACGGTCTCGAGGTCTACCCATAGGCAACCAGTGATGCTGCGTGTTTTCGTTCAGTTCCAAACTTTGCAACTCTGAACGCCTGTCAGGTTTTTGGGATCGATTTATTTTCATTGGGCAAAACTGGGTAGAATATTAGACAGTTTGATTTGGGAAATCGCAACTTCTCATTCGTTATTATAATTTGTTTTGGCATCGGCTCCGTGGAGTCTAAAATTTTGGTACGCCCTCCTACTATTGACATTGATTGTCTGGAGTCCCTAATTTTTTTTCCTTTCCTGTTGCGGCTTTGGTTGTGCGTGGGTCATCCCTTTGATTTCCACATTTTGGGATGTTCGGCCCCAATCACCAGTTTATGGAGTAGCACCTTTTTTATGTATCTACCTTACGTTTAGTTGTTTGTTTTGGTTTGGGACGTAAACTCTTTTACCCGCGACATTATTTTGGAAAATAACACGGTCTCGAGGTCTACCCATAGGCAACCAGTGATGTTGCGTATTTTCGTTCAGGTCCGAACTTTGCATCTCTGAACGCCTGTCAGGTTTTTGGGATCGATTTATTTTCATTGGGCAAAACTGGGTAGAATATTAGACAGTTTGATTTGGTAAATCGCAACTTCTCATTCGTTATTATAATTTGTTTTGGCATCGGTTCCGTGGAGTATAAAATTTTGGAACGCCCTCCTACTTTTGACATTGATTGTCTGGAGTCCCTATTTTTTTTTCCTTTCCTGTTGCGGCTTTGGTTGAGCGTGGGTCATCCCTTTGATTTCCACATTTTGGGATATTCGGCCTCAATCACCAGTTTACGGAGTAGCACTTTTTTTATGTATCTACCTTACGTTTAGTTGTTTGTTTTGTTTTGGGTTGTGAACTCTTTTACCCGCGACATTATTTTGGAAAATAACACGGTCTCGAGGTCTACCTATAGGCAACCAATGATGTTGCGTGTTTTCGTTCAGTTCCGAACTTTGCATCTCTGAACGCCTGTCAGGTTTTTGGGATCGATTTATTTTCCTTGGGCAAAACTGGGTAGAATATTAGACAGTTTGGTTTGGGAAATCGCAACTTCTCATTCGTTATTATAATTTGTTTTGGCATCGGCTCCGTGGAGTATAAAATTTTGGTACGCCCTCCTACTTTTGACATTGATTGTCTGGAGTCCGTAATTTTTTTCCTTTCCTGTTGCGGCTTTGGTTGTGCGTGAGTCATCCCTTTGATTTCCACATTTTGAGATGTTCGGCCTCAATCACCAGTTTATGGAGTAGCACCTTTTTTATGTATCTACCTTACGTTTAGTTGTTTGTTTTGGTTTGGGAAGTAAACTCTTTTACCCGCGACATTATTTTGGGAAATAACAGGGTACTGAGGTCTACCCATAGGCAACCAGTGATGTTGCGAATTTACGTTCAGTTGCGAACATTTCATCTCTGAACGCCTGTCAGGTTTTTGGGATCGTTTTATTATCCTTGGGCAAAACTGGGTAGAATATTAGAGAGTTTGGTTTGGGAAATCGCAACTTCTCATTCGTTATTATAATTTGTTTTGGCATCGGCTCCGTGGAGTATAAAATTTTGGAACGCCCTCCTACTTTTGACATTGATTGTCTGGAGTCCGTAATTTTTTTCCTTTCCTGTTGCGGCTTTGGTTGTGCGTGGGTCATCCCTTTGATTTCCACATTTTGGAATATTCGGCCCGAATCACCAGTTTATGGAGTAGCACCTTTTTATGTATCTACCTTACGTGTAGTTGTTTGTTTTGTTTTGGGTTGTGAACTCTTTTACCCGCGACATTATTTTGGAAAATAACACGGTCTCGAGGTCTACCCATAGGTAACCAGTGATGTTGCGTATTTTCGTTCAGTTCCGAACTTTGCATCTCTGAACGCCTGTCAGGTTTTTGGGATCGATTTATTTTCCTTGGGCAAAACTGGGTAGAATATTAGACAGTTTGATTTGGGAAATCGCAACTTCTCATTCGTTATTATAATTTGTTTTGGCATCGGCTCCGTGGAGTATAAAATTTTGGAACGCCTTCCTACTTTTGACATTGTTTGTCTGGAGTCCCTAATTTTTCTTCCTTTCCTGTTGCGGCTTTGGTTGTGCGTGGGTCATCCCTTTGATTTCCACATTTTGGGATGTTCGGCCCGAATCACCAGTTTATGGAGTAGCACCTTCTTTATGCATCTACCTTACGTTTAGTTGTTTGTTTTGGTTTGGGACGTAAACTCTTTTACCCGCGACATTATTTTGGGAAATAACACGGTATCGAGGTCTACCCATAGGCAACCAGTGATGTTGCGAATTTACGTTCAGTTGCGAACTTTTCATCTCTAAACGCTTATCAGGTTTTTGGGATTGTTTTGTAAGCATAATGAGTTAAAAGGAGAGTATATTGAGAAATAAATCGCCACTTTTCCAAAATTTCCGTTTTTCTTGTGTTGACTAAGTATTTATCGGTCCGCCCTCGTAGAGTAGATATACGATTCCATGGCAGGCTACGGTAGGAGTGTTCCTGTTACGCATATTAAAACCTTTTTAGCTAGTTTGTACTTTACATTTTGTCAGAATGAAGGACAAAAAATCAAGGGGCAATTATTCGCATTTATGTAACATCTAAAACTTATCCTTTGGTTTGCATGCCCCATGTTTGGCGAATGAAACCACAAATATTTAAAAGTCGGAATATACATCCGGCCATGGAATCATGTATAAAGACATAGTCTGAAGGGAAAGGAAATAAATAGGACACTGGTAGAGCTATCATTACACATTCTCCTTGGGATTTGGCTTATATTTACAGCATCGACAGAAGATGTAGCCGACGAACGTGGTCTCCCGCTCAGCGGGGGGCATCTGGAAACATTAAAATCGTCGAGTTAGTAGGGTCCATATTATTGGAAAATCTGTGCTAACATTGATAGTAACTCCACGCGTAATTGACTGTAATAAGTACGAGGGTTGTTTCAAAAGTAAGGTTCCCACTACAAATAAAGTAAGGAAAAACTTAAAACGGTATGTCCGTCTGTTTCAGAAAGTACCTTGAGTTCGAAACTTTCTATGCAGCATTTTCGTAATTACCTTCTACATCCGCGTCTAGAAATGTTTAAATGCTTGAAGGTCTTGACGCAATTATTGTTACTCTACTCATTTTTTCTTGGATAAACGTATATCCTCACCTCTTGTCATATCATTGGAGGCGGTTCCCTTTCCTTCACGACAGCTACGGACAATTCTTCGGCTTTCATTTCCTGCAGTTTGGCGATACATTTGTCTACTACATTGTTGCTGACCGAGTTCAACAGCTGAGGCTGATGTCGCTCCTGGCAGTCTTTTTTATGGGGCGACGTTTGCGGAGTACCACCTCCTGCAACACAAATGACGAGGGAGGTTCGTTAAATAAAATTATAATAAAATTAACTGAATAAAGCGTACAAAGCGTGGGGTGTTTGTTATGTTAAATGTTACAATCATTCTATTGGAGACTATCTACAGGGTGACTTCGAAGTTGAGTCATTTATTTTAACAGTGAGTAGATCTGATCAAAAGAAATGTTTTTTCCTTTACCATTTTTTTGGTAAAATTAAAGTAACAAAGTTATAGCCCTTTGGAAGTTTGAGTACCGCCCTGTCTCAATAATAATATTATGTGCTCGTGTTTGGCGACAACGGATATAATCCGCCTTATAGGTTCATCGCATCGGAAACAAAAAAGTGAAAGAATTTGGAACGATGTTTTTACAATTATTTTATTCAGTTGTATACAGACAGTGTCAGTCGGTAACGCGTGAGTGAATAGTGGTGTCTGTTGCGTGGCTCAAACGAAATCAAAAATTTCACATGTTTACGAAAATGCTGAACTTGTGGACATCATTCTTATTTACGCGGCATTACGGATTTATGCGGATCGGTTTCCCAATCGAGTGCAACCAACCCCTCGTGCCTTTGTTAATGTAGTACAAAGGGCTCGTGAATCAGGTGACTTAAGACCTCACAAATACAGGTCCGCACTGAAATACTTGTCGGGAGGATACTTTATAAAACAAGGTATTTTTTTTTATTTTTACACACATATTTTGGTTTATCTTCCTTCTACAATCATTATCTGAAAATTAATGACTCAACTTCAAAGTCACCCTGTATAAGAGGAGAGTTATGAAAATGTAGTGAAATCCGCCCCACGCTTTTTAGTCTGAATTGAATTATTTTGTTAATCACTTAAATTTTATTATAATTTTATTTTGAGGTCAATAATTATGATTGATTGTTCGACCGTCTACTACTCTAATATAAGCTCTTTGTAATTAAAAATTATTTTATAGTTTTCAGTTCGGTTGGCTATAAAAGGGTGTTTTTTTTAGTTTTTTTAAACTATCTATTTTTCATTTTTCTAGTTTTTTGTGGACATATGTTATCGACATATCTTACGAATCATTTCGTAATCTAAACATTTCATTTAAAGCTTCACTGTTGCATTTTCCTGTTAACTTAGATCTATCAAGTTCTTCAATCCGAATACCGTTTAAAGATCTTACACTACATAATCTTGTCAAGCAACAAACAGTCGCAAGCCTAGATTAATGGTAACATTCGCAATGAACAAGGTGAGAATGCACTATCTTGAAAAACTGTCTGCCTTTGTTGTGCTGTGCCGAGTGCCTTTACCAACAAAGAGTAAGTCTGAAACTGCACGCACGCGCAGATTGCGCGCCAGCTCTATGTCTCTTAATCCCCTACAGACGATCTATACTAAGTGACATATAAATCCGAACACCCAGTTTAAATGGTTTTATTTTAATAAAAGTTGGTGAATGTATTTATCTTACTGTAAATAACAAGTGAACAAATTTTCAGCCTTATCAGTTGGACATTCCGGTTTTTATACTGCTTTTTTTTTAATTCACTAACGCTCTAAAAATGAATATTTCAGCCGCAGTAAAGAATCAACGTTGGCGGATTTTGGTTCTTGACATCCTTTACGATCGGTTACGATGCCTAGAGTACGGAGACCTGTACGATTTCGTCAACTTAGTGAGTTTGATAGGGGCCGTATAGTGGGACTTCGGGAAGCTGGACTTTCTTTTCGGGCAATTGCAGTTAGAGTGCAAAGAAGTGTAGACACTGTGGTTAGGTTTTGTCAGGCATGGCTTCGAGAAGGCCGTACGCAAAGAGCAAGGGGCACTGGACGCCGCCGTAGAACAACAGACCGTGAAGATCGCCGCCTAAGATTATTGGTCTTAAGGGACCGTTTCTCCACTACCAGGTCCATTGCAAATGAATGGTTTGCAGAACACGGAAGACCTATTGGCATGCGAAGTGTTTACCGACGAATGAGAAGTTTTGGCTTGTTTTCATACCGGCCACACTGGGTCCTCCCTTTAAATCGAGAACACCGACGTAATCGCCTTGAGTGGTGCAGACAACGGTCACTCTGGGATCAGGAATGGAACAGTATTGTCTTTAGTGACGAGTCTCGATTTTGTTTAGGCATGCACGATGGTCGTGCCAGGGTTAAAAGGCGACGTGGTGAAAGGAGGAATCCACAGTTTTTTGTTGAAAGACATGTTCATCACACTGTTGGAGTTATGGTTTGGGGTGCTATAGCTTATGGTTCCAGGTCACCTTTAATCTTCATCAGAGGTAACATGAATGCGCAGCGTTATATCCACGAAGTTCTAGAACCCCATCTTTTACCCTATCTTGACACCCTGGCAGATCCAACTTTCCAACAAGATAATGCCCGACCACATGTTGCAAGAGTCACAATAGACTTCTTTCTACATAATGATGTCACATTGTTAGCATGGTCACCAAGATCTCCCGACTTATCCCCAATTGAGCACGTGTGGGATATGATGGGTAGGAGATTGCTCAATTTGCAACGTCCTCCTCAGACTGTAGAAGCACTTCGAGAGGAGTTGGTGGTTGCCTGGAATGAGATACCACAGGAGGACATTGACCACCTGATCAGAAGCATGCCTAGGCGCGTTGGAGAATGCGTAGCACATCAGGGTGCATCCACACATTATTAAAGGTCAAAGGGCTTTAAAGCAGTGCAATCATTTTGAAATTTTTATCATTTACTTATTATGCTTCATTAAGTACTTATACAAAATTTTATTAAAATAAAACCATTTAAACTGGGTGTTCGGATTTATATGTCACTTAGTATATAAAAGAATTTATCAATCCTGGTGGATAATGTCATCGGTCCTTGATGCTCAAAGATTTCAATAAAAGCGTGTTAAAAGTAATATACAAGGTGTTCGAAAAATAAACGGAGATATTTTAGAGAGTGATTTCTTGTTAAAAAATGTGAAAAAAGTTTCTATAAAGATGGGTCGGGAAATTCAGAATTTTACAGATACAGGGTGATACGCTTAGTATTTTATTTTTTTATTAATATCGTACAAAATATTTACTCGATCTTATTGAAATTTGGCAATATTATTTGTTGTATTAAGAGGCTAAACTAGCTCTAGCTATGTTGCAATTATTAGGTCCAGTGGCGTCCCGGGGACACCTTGGCGAATAATATTGGCAAAAAAATGTACACGACTGCATTTTTTGTAACTTTAATATTTGTTGTTTCATTGAGCATCTAAAAAGACAACATATTTGCCTCTTGTATTTTTTTCGTACCTTACTTTGTTTTTTAGTTTATTAATTTTTCATTATTCACGCGATTTTATTTGCGAAATTTCTCTAAAAAGGTTATTCCGATTTATGACTCTGTATCTTGAAAACTATGCATTACCAGACCCATGTTTATAGGCATTTTTTCCATATTTTTTAACAAGGAATCACTCTCTGAAATATCTCCGTCTATTTTTCGAACACCCTGTAGATATGTGTTTCAGGTTAATTGTATCGTAGTTCAAATATGTCTGTTTTATTGCCATTTAAAACCATTTGGTGTTCCAGGTTCTAAACACTAGTGATTATTAACAAAACTATGATGGACTTTTTCAAGTATAGGTCATCATTTTAATGACAAAGACTACACAGGGTTTGTCCGGAAAGTAATAGAACTCATTTCCTTCCGCCATGACCGTTAGCAAGGTGAATTCAAAATGAGTGGACACAGGCTTTGAACTTACTCAAGTTTATTCAAAACGAATTTACTACGCGACAAGCATGGTTAGCGGGCAACTTACGACAACTCATTGTCAATTGTCATACTACTTGACATTTCATTACTTCATAAGTTTCTTATGAACAGCACACATTCTGACCTAACCTAAATAAAACTAGCTGAGCGACGCTTACGATTTCACACAACTTAGAATCTTACCTCCCCCCTTCCGCTGTTAAGACACCCGGAGATATCTTAGCTGGCGTTTTTGAATGTTTGACGTTCATAATTGAGGTTACAGTATATTCAGATAAGAGATAGACCGGATGTAAACAAAAGGTTCGGGTGATTTTCACGCTAACGCCGCCGTCTCGACGTAAAACAGGAGCCCTCATTGGTCAATTCGCAATTAAATGCCTATGCCGAGCGGCAGAGCAGTCGTATCAAGGCAGAGTCACATTCAGGTTCAGAGGTGTTACGTATGTCGTGTACATCATTGCAATTTGATATTTCTTTGGACGTTTTTGTTTGTTATCTTATTAAGTTGTTGAGTTTGTCGTTGATATTGTTATACCTTGTTATAATTATAGGCTAATTTAAACGCCATTTTGAGATTATATTCGACTGTATTTCACCAAACATCAGACGGCATCCGAAGCTGGAAATCGAAGCGAAAATTTTGAAACCCTTATGTATATTTACATCATTATATATTTCTTACCCCACCCCGACATGATCCTATATCCATCACCAATCGTATACACATCGAATTGTGTTAATTTACTACAAAGTTACGCAAAGCAGCATCTACTATCTAAAATATGTACTGCGTGACTCTTAATACGTCCCTGCCGAATGTTACAGCGTTCGATGATCACGTGGTCTTGTTTATGTCCGGTCTATCTCTTATCTGAATATACTGTAGGTATCTTTAATGTTTATAAATAATTTCCCATACTCTATACAGGGTGTTTCAGTTTATTGTTGCATAACTTTAAGATTCGATAAAATTAATGCATAAAGTCTATATAAATATGCGTGGCTTCCGAAATACAGGGTGTTTAAATTTACTTTCTAAACTAGTTTTTTTAAATATTTCGAACAATATTTGATGTATAACAGTGAAAATTGGTACACAAGGGTTTTTTGGTACGACAAAACGAACCATGGGCATAGTTTTACTGTAGCCGCTAGAGGGCGCTCTCTACTGTACCTGTAGTGTATTAAAATGACCGAAAAAATTTTCTTAGTGTAATTTTTTGCTTTTTGAATAAAAAAACTGATTCTTCACACTTTTCAACATAAAAAAGCTCTCTTGTGAATTTTCGTTATAGTTAGCCGTTTTTGAGATATTTCGATTTTTAAGGTTCGATGCATTTTTTATTATTCATGATAAAATAACGTTAAAAGAGTCAGTATCTCGATAACTTTTAGAAGTAGGCTGTGCCTGCAAATATTTTAGAAAGTAAATTTAAACACCCTGTATTTCGGAAGCCACGCATCTTTCGACCCAAGTTTATATAGACTTTATGCATTAATTTTAAAAGTTCTATCGAATCTTAAAGTTATGCAACAATAAACTGAAACACCCTGTATTTAGTGATTAATTATGGAGGAATACGTATTAAAGTTTATCTTATTATTCACTCTTTGACAGTTGACACGCATGGTACGTTCCTCTTGACATCGTGCTTACGATCAACAACTTAGCTCAGGTCAGAAGAACTTTAACGTAGGTCAGAAAATCACCAGTTCGTAAGCAACTACGAGTACAGTTTGCCGTTGGTCACTGAACAGTAAACAGTAATTTCGGTCCGTACCTTTGACGTTGCTGAAATTAGGACTGGGGCAGTTGCTCTGTACTATCGACGTGGACGGCACGGATTGGTCGTCGCCTTCCCCTTCCGCCATAGCAACGGCGACCGGTTCCATCTCATCGACAGCCGCGTCCGAAGCCCAACCCTTGCCTCCTTTGCCCATCGAAAGGAACTTCCAGCTCTTTTTACCGGCACCGCCGGTTCGTTTTGTTTTCGGTAAGGTGCTTGCCTTTGAGCCTTCGTGCAGGTCGCTACCCTTGCAACATCCCGCGCTCGACGTGTCTATCTTTCTGTGTTTGCTTTTCGACGCTGCAGAACATTCGGTTATGGTTAGTCTAACAGAAGTCTAAAAATACGCAGGATGTTCTTAAGGCAACGTGTAATTGAATCGATCATCAAAGTCACATCTTTTTTCCTTAGAGGTAGATGCGTAATTTTGGAATAATGCACGTCAATATGTTCCTTTCTTTTCAAGTAATACATCGTAATACACGTTCATTGCAAGAAAAAATGGAAAAGCTTAAATTTTCAGGCTTTATTCTATGTGGATTGAAACAGTTTTTACAATAAAATGAATAACGAAACGCAACCTTAATTGTTTTTATCGCCCTCGTTGAGGGATGGAAGAGATTTTTCACAAAAAAATTAATTTAAGATTTTTTTCGTTGATTTCTAATAAACTCTGTTAAAAACTGCTAACTAAAAAATCACAACCCACGTTTGGTTGTAATTGCGATTAAAAGTTCATTATCCCGTTTTTTTCAAAATTTCACAAAATTGCAAATATCTCCTGACCTATAAAATTGCGGACCACACATATAAGGGTTCATTCGATAGGTTTTGAGGACCTCTACTAACTTTACACCCTGTATATACACTTTTTGGAGCAGTTCAGCAGAATATCACTCTCAAACAAAAAAAAAAACACTGGAAAGCAGCTTATGTATCCAATAATATTTCATAATAATTTTTTTTTAAGGAAATGGATTTGCAAGATGTAGAACAACCTCGAACATTTTAGTGATGTCTTTCTAGCAAAATTAAACCAATTACTACATTTGTTTTGTTTCGGATTTATTTAGCATTAATGCTACAATATCCATAATATCCATATTACACAGTATGTATATCATAAAATATATTATGTCTTCAAGACTACATATTCTTATACAAAATTTCACTACCATGAATTCTGGTTTTCCATGAGATATTTTTTCAATTTCCCTTTGAACATTTTCAAACTGACACACATCTTGATATCATTACTTAATTTATTAAGTTCATACAATCCCTTTTGAAATACTGACTTGCTCGTTATATGAAAGTCTATACTTCCTCTAGTAGAAAAATGGTGGCACTCATTGTTCAGTACAATAAAATTTTCTAAGTGATTTGGTAGAAGATGATTTATGAAAATGAAAACCAAGTAGGCTATGAAATGTTTGATATTTGACCATTGTAGTTCTTTCAGCATAAAATTTCTTCCAGTATATTTATTTTTATTTAAGATGATTCTCATAGCTTTATTTTGTAATTTTGAAAATACAATTTCATTTGCAGTGAACAAAATAGTCGAACAATATAACAAATGAGGAAGAATGATAGTGTTGTACACAATTTTTTTAGAATAAACGCTAGGCTAAGCGAAATTTTATAAAAGTAATTTATTTTCTTGAATAGTAATATATTCATAGTGCCCTTCAAATTTTAATTTACTGTCTACGTATATACCCAAATATTTATATGATTGGATTGACACCATTTTTTCATGATTAATTGTAAGATTTATCGTATTTTGATCTAAAGATTTTCCTATTAGCGTATATCTTGGTCTGTTTGTGTTTAGTGTAAGTTTATTTACATTTAACCAATTTGTTACGTTTTTCATATCATTATTTAACAGCTCTATTGCAGTTTCAACGTCTTTATTTGATATATATATATATATATAGCAACATCCTCACATACTACTGTAAGTTGAGTCAATTTAAATTCATTTTACACTTTTCTTGCTACTGTTATCATTGTAATTGCAGCTCCTGATGATGATGGCAAAGTCCATTGAAAGCTAGAGAGAATTAAAAAAAGTATAAAGAGTCCTCTTTGCTTAAATTTTGTCGAAGTACCCAACAAAAGGCGGAAGCTTTAATTTTTCACCTATATATATATATATACAGGGTGTCCACAAAGTTGGGGATTTCCTTTTCAGAAACAACTACCCTTGAAATAACAAAGGTAATGTGTAGTGAAACGAGGGCAACCAAGTAAAAAAAAATAAAAGAAAAAGTACTCACTCTCCAGTTGACGAGAAGGACTAAGTACGTCTCTGCCCGAAATCATACCGCTCCAACAGAAAATGAAATCAGCTGATGCGCTACCGAGCAGACGCAGAAACCACATTGATTATTTTACACTTAATGGCACATCTTCTAATAAGGAAGGCAAAATGTTGCGTAAAAAGTCTAGGTATTGCATCCCGTCCAATCGATTTGGGAGAGTAAATGGTCCAATGAGCATAGCGTTCACCATGCCAGCCCAGACATTAACCGAAAATGTTTGTTGAAAATGTGCCCGATGGACAGCGTGCGGATTTTCTACTGACCAAACATGAGTGTTGCGAAAGTTATTCACCCCATTACGCGTGAACGTAGATTCGTCTGTCACCAATATATGCACTTCAAAAAGTCCGGATTATTGTCATATTGATACAACAACCACTCACAAAACCGCACTCTTGCTGGAAAATCGTCAGGTTGAAGGGCTTGTACACGTTGGACGTGAAACGGATACAGCCCCTCTTCACGCAGCGTTTGCCACACTTTAGTTTTTGATACTTGCACTTCTCTAGCCACGTCTCTAGTGCTTGTTGAGGGATTCTCGTCTACGCGATTACCTCTACACGCGTGACCGTAACCGTCGGTTGAAGGTTGCATACTGACCTGACACACTGACCCCGACAAAGTTCTGTCGTCGGGTTGAGCCAGTGACTTTGTACCACTCGGTGATATCGCGGCTTCAGATATTTTTGACGTTGCAGAGCCCTTTATCTCGGTTCCCTTAAGACATTGGTGTATATGGTACTAAGAAAAATTGCTTATGTTTTCAAGATCTACACATAGTGTAAAGGAAAACCCCAACTTTGCGGACACCCTGTATATATATATATATAAATGTATCATCAGCAAATAGTTGAATTTTGCAGTGTTGTAAAATATCAGGGATATCGTTAATATATAAAATAAATAGTAATGGACCTAATTTGCTACCCTGTGGCACACCTACCGAAATGTTTTTAATGTTTGATAATGTGTTGCCAATTTTAGTTCTTTGACATCTAGAATGTATTTTCTTTATCAACCCAGAGAAGCATTCCACAGATTTTGCTAAAATAACCAATAAAGCATTTTCAAGAATACACTGGTAATATGTATCAAATTAATGGTTCAAAATATGTTGCTTCATATATTTCCTAAATATCTACGAAAAATATCAGATATTTCACAAAATATATAACTGACTTTTAAAAATCTTTCCTCATATATTTTCTAAATGTTTTGAAAAAAAAAACCGTGAAAATATTATAAATAATATATACCACAAATATCTAAAATGAATATTTTATGAATATATAAAACATTTATTTATTAAATATTAAAAATCTGTCGCTACAAATATTTAACAAACATTTTTAAGAAATATTTAATGAATATTTCATGCACTTCGCAAAATCTTTTGCTTTCGGTGTACACTCATGTTTATAATAAAATTTTCATTATCTACTGTGACTACAATCCTTTACACTTTAACATGTTTATAATTATTTTATTTGTTACTTTTCAACGGTTAAGTGGCAGAATAGCATCAAACAATAAAAAACGCTTATTATCATTATTGAAGCTAACTAACCTTTGTGCGGAGTACTGCTTTTAGAACAATTATTGTTCCTGGCGCTGGCGGCGCTGGTAGCCTTGCAGTGTTGCCGCTCAGCAGCAGACAGGCCCCACCTATCGGTCAACTGGCGCAGGCGCGACAGGAACGAGCGAGTCGTCTTCACTTCGGCCACCTGCTGCTCGCTGATCGGTTCCTGAGGCGATTCGCAGTTGTTCTTCACGCTGTTCTGTCTCGTGTTATTAGGACACACCAGCCGCTCCTCTTTCGACAACAGGTCCTGCTGTTGCGTTTTCTGCGGCGAGCCCTGGCGGCTCGTGTAGTCTGAAAAAGAAGAAATGGCATCCAGTAGGATTATGTTCAGCATAAGTTAGAGTTTATAATAAGACATATACAGGGTGGCCCATCCATGTGTGGGCGAAATATTACTCATAAACAAATACATTTGGAGAAAATCTATTCATGGCATGTTATACATGACATTTGAGGGCACATTTGTAAAATATTGGCAATTATACAGGGTGTCCCAATTTTGACCTACATATCAAAGCTGTGATTTTTTAAATGGAATGCTTCAAATTTTATTGTACATTTGGATGAACCAATTGCATTAGAAGATATAAATGGATTCTTGGTAATTAGCTACTGAGATGTAAGGTGTTTTGTCCACTTCGGCAACCTCTCAATCCGCCATTTTGAATTATGGAGGGCTGAATTTTGTATCAAACAAACTTACACACCTCAACTTTTATCTTATTTGTTACTTTTTCGAATTTTCATTTTTGCTCATTCAGAGTGGTCAAAAACGCGAATTGTACTTTTCTTAAACATTTCAAATGCATCACCCTGTATATTTGGGCAAAAACAACAACAAAGTTTTTATCGCGATATATGAGGGTGGATCATATATAAACCGGAATTATTTACATAAGACGATTCAAAAATAATATCTAATTTCCTAAATTTTTAGCGATTACAATACTTCGCAATTAGCGTGATGACCAAGAAAAATTTAGCAAGATTAAATAAATTGTTTTACATTGACAAATAACCATACGACTTGAAAATATAGAAGTAGTTTTTAGTTTTAAGTTGAGCTTACCCGATCGATTATTGTTGATTTTCCGATCCACTTTCAGGATGCTCTTCTTCTCCAGGTCCAAATGCGTCTTGACAGAGTGCTCCGAATTCCTCTTATTCAAGTTGAGCGTCTCCTTGGACAGTACGCATTCCCCGTCCTTCCTGAGACAGTACTCCTCCTCGGAGTCTGACTGGTCGGCTGCAGCTAAACCCTCTTCGAATTTCTTCTTCAACGTAAGCGCATATTCGTCCAGGAACTCCGGAGGGTCGAAGGAGAGCTTCTTGTTGCCCACCATGCAGTGCTGGTCGAAGCTCAGTGCCCCGCATCTGAAATTAAAAACGGCGCAAAGTAAAAATTTAATAGATCAAGTCAGAAACCAGTCTAAGACAGACAACGTACTAAGGGTTGTCCTATAGGGACGCAGGAAAGTAAACGTCCATTTGACATAGACGCCATCTTTGTTTTCTGTCACCGACATGTCATTTTGTTAGTTGAATGTTTACCATTGATCGCTATGGAGTCGTATTCGATTGAAGACCGCATTAAAGTTATTCAAGAGCACTACAAAAATGGTGCAAAAATAAAAAACACGTTTCGCGCGCTTCGTGAACATTTCGGTCGCAACAACCGCCCAAACGAAACAACCATCGGTCGTCTGGTGCGTAAATTCGAGGCAACAGGTTCTGTGGCAAATCTGTCAGGTTCTGGCTGGCCAAGGAGCGTTCGCACACCGGAAAATATTGCTGTTGTGAAGGAGAGTGTGAGAGACGATCCGAAACAATCAACAACGCGTCGATCCCAAGAATTGGGCATTTCGAGAACCAGTTTGCTCCGCATTCTCCACAAGAATTTGAATGTACACGCCTACAAGATTGGCTCCTTGAACACCGCCAATTTTTCATCAAAAATCATGTTCAGCGACGAAGCGCATTTCACTTTGAATGGGACGGTAAACAAGCAAAACTGCCGCATCTGGGCGAACGAAAATCCCCGTGAGTATCAAGAGCAGCCGATGCATCCTCAAAAAGTGACTGTGTGGTGTGCATTGTGGTCAAAAGGCATCATCGGACCTTACTTTTTCGAAAATGCGGCCGGGGACGCCGTTACCGTCAATTCTGAGCGATATCACCTGATGATAGAGGACTATTTTTTGCCGCAACTTGAAGGAATGGATATGGACGATGTTTATTTCCAACAAGACGGTGCAACATGCCACACAACCAACGTCAATATCCATCGATTGCAGTCCTTCTTCGGTGATCGCGTGATTTCGCGCAGAGGAAATGTGCCATGGCCACCAAGATCGTGCGATTTGACTCCCTTGGAATTCTTTTTATGGGGATATTTGAAAAGCAAAGTCTACGTCAACAAACCAGCCACCCTCCAAGAACTCAAAAACAACATCATTGCCGAGATAAATGCCATAGAACCGACCATGTTGCAAAATGTCATTGGCTGGGCTTGAGCCCAGCCAATGACATTAGACCGATGCAGCAGGTCGTGCAGTCGAAGCGTTCGCTCTTACTCAAGGGCTGACCCAGCTGGTGACGAGCCCTACTTTTTTCCCCCGCGTCTCGTCACACGCCAGTAGCCTGCTGGATCTCTTTCTGACCACGCATCCTGCCCCTTACAGCACTGCTGTCCTGTTCCCCCTGGGTAACTCAGATCACGGTGTTGTGGAGGTTAGGTTTCGGTCAGAAGCCGCTGTGGCAGCAGAAACTCGCACAGGCCGCAAAACTTGGCATTACGGACATGCCGACTGGGAGGGGCTCAGAGACTTCTTCTCTAGCTTTCCTTGGAGATATGTCTGTTTCACTGACGCGGATGCGTCGACTGTCTGTTCTTCAATAACCGAAATTATCCACGTCGGAATGGAGGAATACATCCCTCACACAGTGAAAGTTCCTAAACCAGGGTCCAACGGCTGGTTCAACAAATCGTGTGACACTGCTCGCCAGCAGAAGATCAAGGCCCACAGAACCTACTTACAAAACCCCACTGTAGAGAACAGACAAGCCGACGTCGAGTCCAGAAACAAATATAACGAAGCGGTTCGCAATGCCAAAAACCAGCATGATATAAAAGTTAGGCACAGGGTAATGTCGCAGCTCAATGGCAGTCGGTCTTTCTGGGCGCTGGCCAAGCAGATTGAAAAGAACTTCTCACACAGTAGCCTTCCACCACTTACGTGTCAGGATGGAACTATTGTATTCGACTCAAAGGCCAAGGCGGAAGTGCTAGCCAAGATCTTTGCTGCCAACTCCACCATGGACGTCCCCACCAACGCCCAAGTGCCGTCAATTCAAAGGGTTCCCCACACTATGCGGGAGGTAACATTCAGGCATAAGACCGTAAGACGAGTGCTCTTGTCGCTCGACATCAACAAAGCTTCTGGTCCGGACTTGATTCCTGCCATTGTACTGAAGAGATGTGCAGCGGAGCTTGCTCCAGTTCTTTCGCGTCTCTTCCAGATATCTTATGAATCCGGCACCTTCCCAGAAAACTGAAAATTTGCTCATGTACAGCCCATCCCAAAAAAAGGATCTAAAACCGACCCTTACAACTACAGGCCTATAGCTCTGCTTTCTGTTATAAGTAAAGTGATGGAGAGGTGCATAAATCGCGAGCTTCTGGACTACCTCGAACGTCACAGCTTGATTAGCGACAGGCAGTACGGTTTCCGGCACCAACGATCCACAGGGGACCTCCTAGCTTACGTCACGCAACTGTGGAGTAAACTCATCCAGTCTCATGGTGAGGCTCATGTCGTTGCTCTTGACATCACGAAAGCCTTCGATCAGCTGTGGCACGCTGCCCTCTTGAGCAAACTTCCATCCTACGGCCTCCCAGAAAAGCTTTGCAGATGGGTGGCTGACTTTATCTCTGGCCGCAAGATATCCGTCGTAATTGACGTCAACGTCACAACGTCAACGCGGGTGTTCCCCAGGGATCGGTCTTGGCTCCAACACTGTCTCTCTTACATATCAACGACCTCCTTTCCTGCACGATCAACCCAATCCACAGCTTCGCTGATGACAGCACTCTACATGCAGGAATTCAGAGTGACAAGCCGATCTCTGCCGCAGAGCTGGAAAAAAGAAGACTAGCGACGACTTCTTCTCTGACAAGAGACCTGGAGGCTATCACTGCTTGGGGACGCAACAATCTTGTACAGTTCAATGCTTCCAAAACACAGTACTGTACTTTGACGAACAAAAAGCGTCCTAGCGCTCATACAGTTTCGATGGACGGTCGAGTTCTACCAAAGAGCCATTCATTTCGGCTGGTCGGAGTCCAGATCACCGAGGACCTGATCTGGCACGAACACATCTGTTCAATAGCTGCAGCTGCTGGGAAAAAGCTAGGCTATTTGTTTAGGGCTAAGAAGTACTTTTCTCCGCATGACCTTCTCACTCTATACAAGGCCCAGATAAGGCCTAGCCTCGAGTATTGCTCACACATTTGGGGTGCTGCCGCCCCGACTACATTGTCCATGCTCGATGCTGTCCAGAGGAGGGCGGTCCGACTGATCGATGACTCTTCCCTAACAGACAGTCTCGGGACTCTTTCGCACCGGCGGGCTGTCGGCGATCTAGCTCTTTTCTATCGCTACACCAACGGGCTTTGCTCCTCAGAGCTCTCTTCCATGATGCCGCTGCGCGATGTGCCTGCCAGACAGACTCGCCTGACTTCGGCGTCCCATCCTAACCGTGTCAAACTTCGTACATCCAGAACTGGCCGATACGACCGCTCCTTTGTCCCGAGGGTGTCTAGATTGTGGAACAATCTACGGGAGGAAGCTTTTCCCAGTTCTACTAACCTTAGGCAGTTCAAAAATCGTATTAACAAAATTTCTTTGGGATCATCATAGCAGCCGCGGTGTTCCGGCATTTAGGCTTCTGCCTGCGCGGCTGTTTCGATATAAAAAAAAAGTCAGTCAAACGGGTCCATAAAACTAGTCCGTAGTCCCTACTCATTTGACAACGTTGTGATGTACTAGAATTTTTTCCCCTGCCCTGCTGACAGTACCGATCACCTGGCAACGTTGCTATGACTAGCCTCGCCATTCACCAGCCACTTTTAGGACACAAATCAGCCAATACGTCACACAGGTTCATCCTGGGACGCGTGTAGTGAAAATATTTCATCATTTCATCATTTCATCATGTTATAAGGGGAAATCTGTGATGTGTGAAATAATTCATTTTTCATTTATTTGAGAAAATTTGCAGTTTTTAAAAAGAGGGTCTCCTAATCAGTGGCCGCGGGCTGCGTGGGTTCGGATCCCGTCCCAGGCGAATTTTTTTCTCTGCTAATTGTCCGTAGACGATTTCTAACCATCGAACGTGGAGGTACCACCTGGCGGATGTCCGAGGCGTGCCAGACCGTACAAAATGTTACCTGAGCTTGCCCTTCTGGACCATCTTGGCCACGTCCGAATGATTCAGATGCTGCACCCGTTCCCTGCTGCCCTTTCGACTACCGGGATAGCTCTTCCTCCCTGTCACGCTGAGCGGCGTCGTCGCCGAACATATGCTGCTCTCCGTGGAGATCTTGAACTTGAGCGCTTTCTCTGATACTTCCACTTCGGTGGCCGTTTCCGAGTCGCCGCTCTCCGGATCTTCCTGGACCTTCTCGAGATTGCTCGTCGCATTCAGCTCGCTGGTTGAAGAACCGGCTGAAACTGCGGCTGACGGTAGAGGCGCCGACAGATGATCGTCCTGGACATCTGGATCGTCGTCTGTCGAGCGGGATCTGGAACATAGATTTAAAATACTTTATCTAGGTGTCTAGCAATACGTCTCGTCAAATGATTTGGATATATGCAAAGTTCCAAAGTGTTGTTATCTATCTCTGATCCATAGTCTTTTATTCTGGGCAACAAAACTAAAATTACATGTATACTCAGTGACATTAAAAGTGTTACACCCGGAAAAATAATTTCTTCAACTTGTTTTTTTTGGCAAATAACACTGATCAACAGCCAAAAAATATTCTAAATAAAATCACCAAAATATTACTATTTTTAATGTGCTAAAACCGGAATGAAACTTATTTTTTCAATATTAGTTCAAGTTTTAGAGATACGGTAATTATATGTGTTCCTGCTGTGACAGTGTGAATATACTGTAATTCACAAGAATGCACGTGCTACATTTTTATATTCGGCAAGGAATGATGATGTAATCGGCATGATTGTGTTACGTTATACATACGTGTACATTATATTGTTTTATATTAGCCATTTTTTCCTCAGTTGGCTGACAGCGTTCATGCAAGATGTCTCGAAAGTGTGTAAACAATCCAGATCAGTTTTGTTACGTGTGTGGTGATGTGACTTTTGCGTCTCAGAGACGGTCTATTACTCCACTAATAACAAAGGCATATCAGCTTTATTTCGGTTGTAAACTAGGTGATCAAGACAAACAGTGGGCACCCCACATCTGCTGTAATACATGTGCTTCAAGTCTGAGGAGCTGGTTGAATGGCAAAAAACGGTCTATGCGCTTTGCTGTCCCAATGGTTTGGAGAGAGCCTACAAATTATATTAATGATTGTTACTTTTCCATGGTACCTTGTGTTGAACAAGCCACAGGTATGTCCAAGAAAAAAAATCGGTTATTAACTACCCAAACATGCCATCTGCGATGAGACCTGTGCCTCACAGTGACGAAAATCATGCCACCAACCGCACAAAATAACACAGTCAGAATTAAATGATCTTGTAAGAGATTTAGAACTTCCAAAATGTAAGGCAGAGTTACTTGGATCAAGACTGCAGCAGTGGAACTTGTTAGAAGACGATGTTTCGGTATGTGTTTTTCGTAAACGCCACAAAGATTTAGAACCATTTTTCAATATGGAGAATAACTTGGTTTTCTGCAGTAACATTAACGGCTTACTGGCGGCTTTAAATGTAAACTATAACCCAGAAGAATGGAGATTGTTTATAGACAGTTCAACATTGAGTTTAAAGGCAGTGTTATTGCATATTGGAAATATTTTACCATCTCTTCCCGTAGGGTATGCAGTTCACATGAAAGAATCATATGACAATATGAAGTACCTATTGACATGCATAAAATACGATGAGCACCAATGGCATATTTGTGGCGATTTGAAAGTTGTTGCACTTTTACTTGGGCTGCAGCTAGGCTACACAAAGTTTTGCTGTTTTTTGTGTGAATGGGACAGTCGGGCAAAGGCACTTCATTACACCAGACAAAACTGGTCTGTTCGTCAATTCCTAGAGCCAGTTAAAAAAAATGTACAGCATATGCCATTAGTAGATTCGAAAAAAATTTTATTACCACCACTGCATATCAAGTTGGGCCTAATGAAAAACTTTGTCAAGGCATTAGATAGAGATGGGCCAGCTTTTCAATACCTGCGTCAGAAATTTCCAAGACTAAGTGAGGCAAAGGTTAAAGAAGGTATTTTTGTTGGGCCACAGATTCGAAATATTTTGAAAGATACACTGTTTGAAAACACTTTAACAGGTATTGAAAAAACTGCTTGGAATGATTTCCGTCTGGTGGTCACTAATTTCTTGGGAAATAGAATAGCTAACAACTATAAAACCCTTGTCAAAAATATGCTGTCATCGTATCAAAAGATGGGCTGTAATATGTCTCTTAAGATACATTTCCTACACTCACACCTGGACTTTTTTCCTGACAATTGCGGAGCCGTAAGTGATGAGCACGCCGAACGTTTTCATCAGGATATTTCAACATTGGAAAAAAGGTACCAGGGAAAGTGGAATCCTTCCATGCTTACAGACTACTGTTGGACTCTTGGTAGAGATGCTCCAGAAACGATCCATAAAAGAACAGCAAATAAACATCGCATTTAGTGATTCTTATAAGTATATGAATCTTGTTACTTTTTTTAATATAACCTTAAAAATAAAAAGTTTTTTTTTCTAAACCGCAACTAATTTTTTTATTTCATTGTCATTTTTGGATTCAGCGCCCCAAAATTAACAAAGAAGTGCACTTTTCCCACAAGATACAATTAAAAAACTAAAATTTGTTGTCCAGTGTAATTATATTTAAAGCATGCTCTGTTTAGGACCCAATTGTATGGATCTGTTTGACTGACTTGATCCGACTAATTCCTTCATTGTACCTGTTCGTAACTGTCTTTTTTCTCAGAGCACTTAATTCAATATGAACAGAGGAAGTCATTGCGTAAGAAGTGCGGAGTCAACCTACTTGGCGCTATTTTTAGCTAAATAAAACATCATATCTGGATATTGGTTTTTGCCGCCGTTTCGGTCACCACGGTGACAGTAACACAACGTTTAAGCCAGGCGCGAATCCAGGGGGGGTCATGTTCATAGTTTCAAATCTCTTAGATAAATCTGTAATGCGCACATATTAAATGGATGCCATTCTGGTATTTTCTACTAAACACTGGCAGCACTGCATCCGTCAACTTTGATTTAACCGTAAGCTCATAGATGATAGCGCAAGACTGGTTGCCTATGCGGTCAGCTTGATGTAGGAAAAACTTCTTCGCGCGCGCTTAAGAGCTGTGAACAAATTTGATAAAAAATACCTTGACGGACCAGCGGCGGATTTAAGGAAAAGAGCCCGGTCGGCAATATGCACGGGGGGGGGGGGGGGGGTTAGCTGTATAACTGTTTTGTGAATAACATAAATTACTACAATTATTGACAAATAAAGTACGGCAACGAAAACTTTGATATATATATATATATATATATATATATATATATATATATATATATATAAGTTGAGACGTGGTCATTGTCGTCTAGACCAGTTAGGTGAAAAATTAAAGCCTTTTGTTGGGTACTTCGACAAAATTTATGCAAAGAGGACTCTTTATACCTTTTTTAATTCTCTCTAGCTTTCAATGGACTTTGCCATCATCATCAGGAGCTGCAATTACAATGATAACAGTAGCAACAAAAGTGTAAAATGAATTTAAATTGACACGCCCACAATTCGTTGCATCTTTCAACACAGACATTGACAACCTTCGGCCTTCTGTCGAAGGTTCATCTCACTCATTATTCCATGACCACCATTTTGTGCAATCATCAAGTGGCTTCACGACGTAATGCTCTAATGTTTTTTAAATAATTTTTAATCTGTTTTTAACTTGTCTTGTCATATTTTATATAATTTTGACCATTGTACCATGTATCCAGCTCTCACCATGTTACTGGACGTTTCCCTCATCCTATACGTAAACAACAATTAGCAACATCCTCACATAATACTGTAAGTTGAGTCAATTTAAATTCATTTTACGCTTTTGTTGCTACTGTTATCATTGTAATTGCAGCTCCTGATGATGATGGCAAAGTCCATTGAAAGCTAGAGAGAATTAAAAAAAGTATAAAGAGTAATCTTTGCTTAAATTTTGTCGAAGTACCCAACAAAAGGCGGAAGCTTTAATTTTTCACCTATATATATATATTGGATAATCATAGCAGAAAAAATCTATTTTCTTTTCGTGATGTTGCATACAATGAAGTTAGGGATGCGATTTATTCTATTAAAAACTCCAAAAGGACCGATGTATATAAACTTAATAGTAAAATTGTGAAATCGATGTTAAACGTAAATATTTACCCGCTTACCAAGCTTATCAATATGTGTTTAGAATCAAATATTTTCCCCGCAGCTCTAAAAATATCCAGGGTAATTCCTATGTATAAAGATGAGTCTGTTGACGAAGTTTCGAACCACCGTCCTATATCATTGGTACCCTACTTCGCGAAAATCTTTGAAATTATACTCAAGGACCAACTGAGCAATTATCTCGAAACCAACAATTTCCTAAATCCTCATCAATATGGCTGTAGAACAGGCTTATCAACCATTACTGCAATAGACAGTTTTATTGACGTTGTACACGATGGATTTGAAAATAAGCAATATATAGAGGCAAATTTCTTCGATCCGAGCAAGGCCTTCGATTGTGTACAGCATGATATACTTCTTTCAAAGCTACCGTATTACTCAATCGATCCTTCTGCTGTAGTCCTCCTGAAATCCTATTTAGAGCAAAGGCAACAGCTCGTCGGATACAATGGCTGCACATCGTCAGTCAGCACAGTTTTACATGGCGTGCCACAAGGATCTGTCCTCGGCCCTTTGTTATTCTTACTCTATATAAACGACCTACCAAATTGTCTTCTTAATAGTATGAACAGTAAGCTCATTCTTTATGCTGATGACACCACTCTGATCTCAGCCCACGATTCATATACAAACATCAACAGCGAAATGACGGCCAGTATATCTAGCATTCAGAATTGGTAGCTACTTATTCGAACCATGTATAAAATATTTATTTCAGTTTTCTATCTCTTATGCCATTTATTTATTGATTTTAACATAGTTTGTAATGATTTTATCTTTTATACTTTTATTGTCATTGTTGC